TTCCTGCTCGTCCCCCTCCCCTCGGCCATCCTATGGCAGCCACACGGCAGCGCTCCGTGTCCCCCAGCTTGGCCCTGACGCTCAGTCCTCCTGGCTTTATGGTTACTTTGAGAATATGTTCATTAAAGCTGGGCAGCGGGACAAGGACGGGCTTAGCACAGGAGAAGCAATGGGTGAGCCCGGGCGGGGCTGCTGTCAGCTCACTTGGGGACAGGCAGGGAATGAGCCCACGCTGGCACAGTTGTAGCCAAAGGCTGTGGCTGCAAGCTTGACCTGATGGTCTGAACCTGTGGTCCCAGGAGGCTGAGTGATGTGGGCTTGGTAGAGTTCAGGTGCATGTAATTGAGCTCACTTGGAGACAGGCAGGGGGTGAGCCGGGGCGGGCTGCTGTCAGCTCATGGAGAGAGGTCACGGTGACAGGTGAGCCCGGGCGGGGCTGCTGTCAGCTCACTGGGGGACAGGCAGGGGGTGAGCCCGGGCGGGGCTGCTGTCAGCTCACTGGGGGACAGGCAGGGGGTGAGCCCGGGCGGGGCTGCTGTCAGCTCACTGGGGGACAGGCAGGGGGTGAGCCCGGGCGGGGCTGCTGTCAGCTCACTGGGGGACAGGCAGGGGGTGAGCCCGGGCGGGGCTGCTGTCAGCTCACTGGGGGACAGGCAGGGGGTGAGCCTGGGACGAGCCGCCTCTGCCCCTCGCTCCCCTGGTTGCAGCCTCCTGGGGACCCTTGGAGTTTAGGAGATGCACGCCTGTCGGGGAAGGAGAGGGGGGAGGGAAAGGCAGGGGTGCTCCCAGGAGGGAGTGCAGGCCTCAGTCCTCCTGGCTTTGAGCTCATCTCCTGGCCAGAGGCCCTGCCCGCCTGGTCTGCCTGCAACGCCTCCTGGGCCTTAAGATTCAGTTTTCAAGTCGCCTCCTCTGCGCTCCCAAACCACTCCTACCCCGCCCTCCAGCGCCAGCCCGCAGGCTGCTGAGGGGAGCGCTGACTCTCAGAGTGCAGTCCCCGGTGGGGGGCCCGGGCTGTGCTCGGAAAACGTGTGCAGAAACCCAAGGGAGAGCGGGGGGAAAGGATGGGGCTGAGCAGGGGCCCTCACACCCGACGGTGGGGTGTCCTGCCTCGTGAACCCATTGCTGGGCTGAGCAGCGGGGTCCTCTCCAGAAGGAAGTCACGCCCTGGGGCTGGGAGACCCCCTACCCCGCCCTCCCCAGGAGCCAGGCTTCCACGACCTTGAGGCTGCGTCAGCCTGGGCTGCAGACCTTTGAGCTCCGTCCACGTCTACCCGTTAGATCAGCCAAACAACCGCCACGTGTTATTTTTCTTTCTTTAGTCCTGAGGTCACAGACCTTCCAAGCTGTGCGTGGGGGGGCGGGGGGGGGGCACGCGGCCTCCACAAACTATCAGTGATAAAGGACGGGCTTTAAAAAGTCCAACCCGTCACAGATCGATACTTTTGTAAAATACAATGAAAACGAATCAGAAAACTGAAGCAAAAAAGGCACGAAAGCCAGCGCCCGAGGCTGGAGCGGTTAGTATTAGAGGCAGCAGGCACAAAAGCTCCCCATCGAATCGCTATAAACCAGTGGTTCTCAACCTTCCTCATGCTGCGACCCTTTAATACAGTTCCTCATGTTGTGGTGACCCCCAACCATAAAATTATTTTCGTTGCTACTTCATAACTAATTTTGCTGCTGTTATGAATCGTAATGTAAATATCTGATATGCAGGATGTATTTTCATTGTTACACATTGAACATAATTAAAGCATAGTGATGAATCACAAAAACAATATGTAATTATATGTGTTTTCCGATGGTCTTAGGCGACCCCTGTGAAAGGGTCGTTCGACCCCCAAAGGGGTCGCGACCCACAGGTTGAGAACCGCTGCTATAGACACTTCTGAACGTTCACTCCCAATCCCTGCGCTTACCTGGGCGCGGACAGGACAGGCCGCCTGTGGCCAGGGGTGCTGTGGGGACCGCACTTTGCGAGGGGGCAGCGGAGGCCAGGGCGGCGAGGGGGCCCAGCTCCCGAAGGTGCAGGCACCGCAGTGGAGGCTGCAAAGAGAAGAGGCCTTGACCGCTCACTCTGATCGGCTTCAATTCCGAACCTCTCCGGCCTTGGGACTCCCATCTGTGAAATGGCCTGTTCTCAGAGCAGACGGTGCTTTGGCGAGTTGAGGGTATACTGTCAATGCCCCACTGTCTGGTGAGACCAGCTGAGCCCGAGCTGGGATTCGGCGGTGGCTGCTGATCTGTAGTTGCTAAGAGGGATCCCCCAGAACCATCTTTCCGGAGTCCTGGGGGCAGACAAGCAGCTGAGAGACAGCAGTGTCTGCTCCGCCGGCCTCAAGGCCAGTCTCAAGGTCAGTCTCAAGGCCGGCCTCAGCTGAGGGATCGCTGTCATGAGGTCTCTGAGAATAAGGGCATGCACGCTGCCTCCGCCCGGAGACCAGCATACACAGAGGGTAAGGCATGCGCCTCCTTCCTGTGGGACACTGGAGAGCGGCTCCAGCGTTTGGACTGGTTCAAGCCTCGGACTAATGAGAGGGCACGATCCTCTCGTGGCAAAGCCACGTGCAGGTCCCAGCACAGTTATAGCCGAAGGCTGTGGTTGTAAGCTTGACCTCATGGTCCGAACCTGTGGTCCCAGGAGGCTGAGTGATGTGCGCTTGATAGAGTTCAGGTGCGTGTAATTGAGTGGATTCGAACCCCGAGAGAACGTTGTAAACATCTTGATCAGCCCTTACTCTGCCTCGTGGAATCTGCTATAAAATAAAGACTCCGTTTGCAGGCGGTGGTGCTGTCTAATCAGAGGGCAGCATCCCACCCAGCCCCAGCTTTATTCTCTCGTCTGTCTTTTCTAATCCTTCACCTCCCCTCTCAGGTTCACCCACGGCCGTGCTGGCGCGGCACAGGACACAGCAGGGTTGGGGCGGTGAGGTCTGCAGGGGACCTGGTGCAGTCAGCTCCTCAGGCTGCTGCTCCTTGGGCAGCGTGGGAAGGTGGCCTTGGGAGCACAGGGCGCTCTGTAGCAGGGCTGAGGCTGGGCAGCAAGGCGAGTTCCTTTAGGAAGCAAGAGTGGACATGTTGGTGAGACGGATGAGATGCATTCCCACGGGGGCAGGGTCACCCCCAAAGAGACAAACACTCAAAAACAAAATCTTGCTCTTTCTTCCTATCAACAGAGATGCGCATACAGTGCATGAACAGCTATCTGGAGCGTTAACACGCTGAGAGGGGTTACGGTTTGGGGAGAAAGGTCTAAAACGGCTTCTTAGGGGTTGAGTAAGGAAGGAAACGTTTGGGGTGGGGTGTGAAGATGGCTGGGGGTGCAGGGCTGCTGATGGAAGAAGAGCTGTGGGGTGGCTGCTCCCTCCTGGCCCACGTGAACCCGATGCTGAGCTGAATTCTGAAAATGAAGACACATTGGCGAGCTCTGGACTTAGCTCACAGGACGGTAAAGAGGTGGGGCCATTACAAAAACACGGAGCGCAGATCTCCCCACACACGGACCAGGACTGAAGCAGAGGCCCATGCACATGCACATGTGCGTGTCCTCTTACACGTGTGGAATAAACGTCAAGAATTGCATAGAGCCCTGACCGGTGTGGCTCAGTGGATAGAGCATCGGCCTGCAGACTGAAGGGTCCCAGGTTCGATTCCGGTCAAGGGCATGTACCTTGGTTGTGGGCACATCCCCAGTAGGGAGTGTGCAGGAGGCAGCTAATCCATGTTTCTCTCTCATCGATGTTTCTAACTCTCTATCCCCTCTCCCTTCCTCTCTGTAAAAAATCAATAAAATATATATTTTTTAAAAAGAATTGCATAGAAAACACTCTAAACAGAAAACCTCCACTTCCCCCGCTGGGTAGCTCAGTTGGTTAGAGCGACGTGTCCTGAGACGCTAAGGTTGCCAGTTTGATCCCCAGTCAGGGCACGTACAAGACTCAACCAACGAATGCATCAGTAAGTGGAACAATGAGTCCATGTCTCTCTCTCTCTCTCTCTCTCTCTCTCTCAAATCAATCAATCAATCATCAATCACTCAACAATTTTTTAAAGAAACAAATGGAGAAGTCAGGCCTTGGAGAGAGCATAGACCAGGCTGGGAGAGCCAGGCCGTGGGCGAGTGGGATATGGAGAAGGCGGAGGAGCTTGGTGACCAGCGGTCACCGGAAAGGTTGGTGTAAAAACTGCCAAAGCGATCGCCTGCCATGACTTCGCAGAAGCCGAAACGGAAGTGAAAGTTCAAGGGCTGCTGGGAGAAAAGAAGGCACTTGCGTGGGGATTTGGAGCAGAGAAGAGACGGGAAACCAAAGCAACACGGGAGCATGGGACTTGCCGGAGTTCTCCGGGACATGGTGTCTCCTCTTGACTTTTTCCTCGAGTCTTCAATTGCTCGGTTGACTTTAAAGATGTTCTTGCTTCTGTTCAATGTCAGGACATGGATAGAAGTCGAAAGCATGGGCATAAAACTTGGGCGTTAATTACCCAAACTTTTCAATCTTTTCCTAAAGAGTTTATCTTTGTTTGTTTGTTTTGTTGTTGTTTTTTAATGTATTTTATTGATTTTTTACAGAGAGGGAGATGGAGAGGGATAGAGAATTAGAAACATCGATGAGAGAGAAACATCGATCAGCTGCCTCCTGCACACCTCCTACTGGGGATGTGCCCGCAACCAAGGTACATGCCCTTGACCGGAATC